ACCCGCCCGAGAGGGTGGCCAATGGGCTGCTTGGTCCCGCCCTCTCCGCGAGTGCTCCTGGGAGTTGTAGTTCTCTGCCGCGGCACAGTTGAAATGGCGGCGGGCGGGTGGGCAGGGCGCGTTGGTTCTCTCTCCCTTCCGTGAAACCGCATGTTTCTTATCTCGAGGGGACGTTTAGGAGCCGTGGCGAACGGTGTCTGGTACCCACAGCAGCAAGCAATAATGGGAATGTCCCCTCACCCTGGTTTGGGCCGTGCCTGGAGCCCGCTGGGAGGCCGAGAGCGCTGGGGCTCAGGATGCTGCTGCCAAAATGACGGGGTGTTTGGGGGGAAGAGGAGTGCCCGTGGGGAATAACCACCCCCAGGTTCAGTGAGGTGGCAAGAGCCACAAGCAGGGTAGGAGGACGCCGGTGAGGACCAGGCTGAGGGACGGGCCCGAGTCAGGCATGGTGGTGTGCCCTGGGGTGTGCTAGCCCCACTCCCGATAGGGCTTAAATCGCCTGGTTTTCAAAACGCGTTCCTTCTTGCCTGGTTTCACCAGGGAACACGGTAGAAAAATTGTTGTTCCCTTCTTTACAGCTGTCTTGTGCTGAATTTGAAGATTTATCTTATGTTCCCATGGCGTAAACTGTCCTGAGATGCTTAATGCTGGATGGGAGCTGCCACGGAAAGCCTGCTCTTGAATCAGCAGAAGAAGCAGATGATTGTTCACACATTCTTTATTATCAAAAAAGAACGAAACCAATATTAAATTAAATAAATTACAAACATTTCTGAGCTGGTTATACAACATGCATTTAACAAGTAAGGCTTCAGAGCCATTACACATCAACATCACTGTTACTTTAAGAGCAATAAAGTGACACTGGAAATCAAAATTTTTCTACCCCAGCATGAATTTGAGCTTCCCTAATTCTGTTGCCCGGGCACTTGGAAATTCAGACTTGGAACCGGCCACATTGTGCCTCCAGCAATGCCATTTGCCCACTGATGTTACATTTATTGACAGAATTGGCCCATGGCTGCAGAAACGAGGTATCCTTCTTCCTAGGTCATCAGAATCGCAGAGCATATAGTCAGTGCGGCTACCTTCAAGCCGTCTCTCTTGACATCCCATCCATTATGCCTGTAGGAACTTCAAGAAATACAATCTATTTTTTATACATGGTCTGTTGCTCTGAGGCTTCCTGTGTTTGGCCTGTCAGGCCCTGAGACTGTGAAATCAGCCTCCTGTAATTAACCTCGAATGAAGAACTGGAAATTGGAATTTTCCTCATTTAACGTGATGCCACCTCAGAGATACAGAAATATTGATTAGCTACTGTAGGATAGTTTCTTGTTCCATTGCACCAATTTCTTTGTTGCTTTTTTCAAACGAGCAAGTAAAAGGAGCACTCAGGCAGTAACAAAAGACCATGAGTAATCACCCTCAAAGATAATTTAAGGGAATTAATCTCTTGATTTTACCTTATAGAACAAGCTATACATGGTTCTGGAAAAATCACTGCTGTCTAAGATTAAAATGAGTAATAACCATTAGTTAGTGGGTTTTTTCTTTTGGAAACTAACCTCCTTTGGTTTTATTACTCTCTCCTGCACCACATAACCAGAAACTGAGGTAGAGAAATGGTGACTTAGTTAATGAGGTGTTACATAAAACCAAACTGGCAGGGTCCTGATGTTGTTTCCTTTAATGGTTGTCTAGCTATGAGGGTTCTTGAAGCTCTATTTTCCTTAAAAATGAGACATCTGGGAGCTGTAGGAAAGCCCCACGTTCTCTCCTCAGAAAACCTTCTAGCAATCTGCTAGTGAATCAGCTCAATAATGTATATGTACTTCAAAACTGTACATTAAAGCTTGTTAATAGTTTTAATATCTTAGAGTAATAAAATAGAAATAACCTTTAAAAATATAATTTACTTTCATTATTAAGGCCACTCTTTATTTTTTGCGTTCATGGAAAGATAACAGACTGTCCAGTTTTACTTCCATTACTGTTCACTTTTTCTTGTTGACTCTTGCATTTTATCCCAGTGCTGGAATACCTTGTAGGAAGATTTGAAATTCAAACAAAAGAAATTGTTTTCATTGCAGTTGAAGACATACCAGTATGTGTCTTTATCGTAAATTTTTTATAACCTTATTTTCATAAAAGCCATATTTGAGGTTGAAATGCACTGAAGAAGGGTCCCTTTAACCCTTGGCTTACGCTTAGATTTTTCAGGCTTTATATTGTCATCTTGTCATTACTGTCACAACATCAGCAATGGGTAAGAAGGGAAGGCATCAGAGAGGGAAACTAAAATAGCAGTTGTTATTAGCATCACTCAAATATAAAAGAATGTCAGATTTTTAGAAATGATTAAGATCTCGGCTGTCTGTCTCTGGGTTAGTGAGGCAGGCTTGTTTGCCTGGGAGGTAGATGGTCCTGGTAGCATCAGTCTGTGGTGAATTTTAATGAAAATCATCAAACTTTTAGTAGAGAATTGTAATGGAAATATCACATACTATACAAGAGTTGTCTCTTGCTGCACACAAGTGACCGTTTGAGAGCTTGTCACCAGAAGCCCTACATAGCACAGGGTGTCACTTGGGCTGTTCCCTAGTTGCAGGCATAAAACACACTCAAATTTCAGTTTTACTGCTCTGGATCTATGGCATTATGAAAAGTGTGCAGAAGGGGCTTCCTTCCCTGTCCCTGAATTTGCTACTTGTGATGAAAATGATTTGGGAAAAGCATCTTTCCCCAGAGCACTCATCCACGTTCCAGACTAAATCTTTCAGTTGTTCCAGTCAACAAGAGGATGGGAAGAGTCAGAACACCCTTGGGATGAATGCTTTCATGCCATTCACAGTCTAAGAGCCGTATCTGAAGCGCCGTTCAGTCAGCAGAAAAGATCCCTAAAAAACTCCAAGGGGGATTTGAACTGGACCCTGGGTCTTTCGAACACGTGCTCAACCTACTGGGCAGGCAGGACAATATGTGCGTATAACACACAGCAAGAAGGAATTCTTATTTCTGATTACGAACTAGTCCTATTAGTAAGAAAAAAAAATATGTAATCCAGAAAGCAGCCCTGCTGAGACAGAGTACCAAGGTCTTCGGGATATCAGAAATACAGCACTGGTTTGAGGCAGCGGTTTCTGGGATGTTGGGTCACAGAGAAAGCAGTGCAGGGGGTCATGGAAGAGGGGCCACAGGAAAGGCAGAGGTGGTGCTACACAGACACGCGGGGAAATTCAGGGGCTTGCACTTACTGTGCAGACACCCCAAAGGTCAGTGCACGTTTTAGAACAACTTTACCTTACAAAGCTGCGTTGCCGCACCTTGCAAGAGTTGCTTTGGCTTGTGAATCAAAGCCATGAAAGGCTCTTAATATTTGCTTGTATTTCACTTCATCAGGAAAAGAGGGAGGAGGGAAATGAAAGAAGGGGGATGCCCAAATTACGTAATGTCTATGCGGGCAGAAGAGTGCGATTGTGTGAGACAAAGGAGAGCGCTTGGCAATAATGACTAATCGTCCCATGTGTTAAGGCACCTGCCTTCAAATGAACTCGCTTCTCTTCTGTAATTAATGAGATGGCATTTCCTGAGTTCCTGCTTCCGCAGATTTCTGTTGCCTGCTCCAGAGTCCATTGCTCTGAATACCAGAAGCGGAGCAGGAAGGAGGGAGGAATTTATCAGTTCAAGAGGTGTGATGGCCTCTTGCTTTGCAAACATTGTATCCCCAGGTAGAAGTGCAGCTCTTCACGAAGGGATGGGAGAGAGGCGTCTGTTCAGGAGGGTTTGCCCGCACGCTGACGCTCCCTGTGCGCTCACAGAGCTGTCTGGGTCTCTGAGCGGAACATGCTTCCAAACATCTCCTAAAGGGCACACAAGACATGCTGGGTTAGGGCTGATGCCATGGCACAAACCCAGCAACGCAGCTCAGCAGTCATTCAGTCACACAGAGAAACGCCACCAGAAACGCCAACCCTTCCCAGCCCTCCTCCACAAGGGAAAGCTGGCAGTGGGGAGGTTGCTCTGGTTCCAGCTGTGCGTGGATAGCGTGGGGAAGGTCAGCATTGGAAGATAATCTCCTCCCAGGGACCTGGGTTTGGTGGGTGCAGATCACTTCAGCATTAACAAAGTCTGTGCTGAAAAACTTGACCAGTGACCCTTCTTCTGGGCTTGAGCTAAACCTGGTTCTCCAAGTTCACCCGTGTGTGGAAACCACAGGTCTGACTGTGAACCTGAGCTGTGTGGCCCAGAATGGATTAAAGGATTCCCCTGTGGGGTAAGCTAGCTGGTCCTTCATCCGGGTGCCTGCCAGAGCTCCTCATGACAGGGATTTTAAATTATTTTTGCAACTAACTTTTCAAAGCCTTACTGTTGCTAGCAGTTTGCCTGGCACGGCACAGGGGACTTCCCATCTAACCAACGCCAGCCATGACTTCTGATTTCCACCTTATGTCCACAGCTGAAGAAGTGACCCCTGGCACTAGAACTAACCTCCTCCAAGTTCTTGAACTCCGCACTTTCATCCACAGACTCGTCATAGATGGAGAGCTGTGTCTGATTTGGCCCCTGTGCAGGAAGGAATCAAATCCACAAATTAGCAGAGTGCAGGGTTGAAAGGAATGAAAAAAATTACTAACCCAGGCTTAAAACATCACACGTGCTCAAAGGGACATGCCCAGGAAGAAGGGGCACAGAAGGAATCCTGTTTCAATTGTTTATCTTCTCTGACTGAGCTGGCATTTACGTATCTCTCTGCCAAGGTATGAGATACCTTAACTTATTCTCATGAGATAACTGGCTAACGTTGCCCTGGTTCCAACTCCAATTATCATGCAATAAACCCACCCTTATTTGGGGAGATAGCTTGTCTGACCCTGTGTTGTCAGCATGTGCCACAGTCCTGCCTCAGCCTTTTCTCCTCCCACCAAGGGAAGCATTCATGGATGCTGGGGCTATTCAAGGACAGGGGCGTGTGCTTTGACTTCATTTCCGATGGCCAAATTCTGCCTTTGTGTGTAGCCGCGTGTTCCAGCCAACACCAAACTGAGGTCATAGTGCTGAAACAGCTCTTTTGGCTTCTACAGACTGGAAGAACATTCATCTCCCAGCTAGGGGTTTGCAGAAGACATTTACACTTCTGAATTCCCATTGAAATAAATTCAATCAATAGGTGCTTGGCCCATACGTGAGAAATAGGAGGTGAAATGTTTTGTTGGATTTAGACCTTTACCACTTGAGATAAATAAGGAACTTTATTAGCTGCAGTATTGAGTTGTTATTCTTCATTTGTGCTGATGCAGCACGTAAACCTAATAGTACAGTACTGTGAGCTGGAGAAAGACTGGGGAGCAAATTTACCTCTTCTAAGACGGGCGGGTGGACAACTTCTTTGATATTTGCCAGTGCAAACAAAACAGCATCATGGATCGTCAAGAAGATGTGACTTCGGTCCAGGCCTCCTTCCTCAAAGATTCCACCTGCGCTAATGTCATTGTACACCTGGGCTGAAGAAAGGAAAAGCACATGAACAAGAAGGAAACCAAAGAAGGAAGCCTTTGAAAGTGCACATGGTGCTGACAGTGGTCCTCTGTGCTAAAGCAAGGCTGGCATGCATAGGGAAGAAGCAGGTTTGCTGCAGAAATGAGAGTGTAGGGATCTATTTTTCTACATGCTAAATGTGGAGAGGTTCTAGTCATATCACTTCCCAAATGAAAGGAGCTATTTCACACACAGAGAACAGTGTTTCTCTTTCCTTTCTTCTGTTCTCTTTCATCTGTTCCACTTTGGTCCAACAAAAGGCTGACAGCTTGCACAGTTTGCACAAAGAACACAAAAAGATCTCCTGTCTGTCAGGAGCACATAAATGGGGGAAGATCACGTGGAAATGTGTTCTTTGTGGATTCTTACCATGCACATTTGCCAAGAACACTTTAATCCCAATCTTCTGATAACTGGAACACAACTAGAAGGGATGAGAGGGGAGAGAGAGGATTAGTAACGCAGCTGCTCCAGTACTGTGTTTAGACATAAAGTCTTTTATCCAGGGCTTTACACATGTCCTGGGGATGCTGAAGGAGAAAGCCACACAAACCTTCTATTGAGGAGGGTAAACATCTTTATCTGAGCTGCCCAAGAGAGTAGAAGTTACCTGGGTGATATGTTGCTTGTCTATGTTTGTAGTACAGAACTAACCTTGCCCAGTGCTTTTGTGCCCATGAGGTCAACAAAACACACTCCACTCATGTCCAGGATGATGGTGTGAAAGCTGATATAGGGCGGTGCTGTCATTATAGGGTCAACGTCTGCTTTAGGCATGACACTGAAAGTGCTTCCTTGCAGAGTAGTGGTGCTGCCCAGCTCACTGGAGGTATGTACTTGCTCAGCACCGTTGGCAGGTGGACGGAACGTGACGTAGGAGATGCTGGCACCATTAGCAGTCGTCTGGTTGTTATTGGTATCTGTTGGAGAGGTGCTTTCAAAGTCTTTCTGGAGCTCTTGCAAAGACAAGGTCTACAGCAAAGCAGAAATGCACAGTCAGGGCGGGGCACAACTATCAGCACAAGGTGAGATCCTGACATGTGAACGCACCTGAAGTAGTCAGTGGCATGAAGTGTTTTAATCTGGACTAACTCCAGCCTGGTGCTAGACTGAATGTCCCTTGGGGTTGGAGTACGTTAGGTTAATTTTAAATGGTTCCTGTTCACATGCTTCAGGACTGCTCAGCAATGCAAACCAAACGAAGCCGGGATGACTGGGAAATGTGCTTCAAAAGGGCACTTTTGAACTGAAATGTGACATAGATGCAGCCTTAGAGAAACAGGGCAAGCTCGGTTTCTAGCAAATTGTTCACCATGTTTCCATTCTAGCCATCTCTACAACTTTCTTGCTCCCAGCTATTTTCAGTTCTCCTGCATCTTAAGGTTTTGGCTATTGGGAGGAATGGAGCTATGGGTGGGAAGGAAAGGAGGCAAGAGGTGGTAAATGTGGCTAGGAAGACAGTGCAGAAAACCCTATGTCAAGAGGAGCTGTTTGATGAGGACTTGGGATCTTATTTGTCAACACAGGAACCCAAACTGAGTTACCTTGTTCTGCTTCAATAAGAATTTCGGTAGCTTTGTTGGTGGTTGTGCTGTTCCCTTCTGCCGTTTCACATATTTCTTCCTGGCTAAGTAGACTTTACCAGGATCCACCCCGGTCTGTGGAAAAGAGAGAGAGTTTTCTTTGAAAAAGTCTGTTCAGCCCCGTAGTCGGGGGCTGCTGTTTCTTTCTTCCCATTTCCCAGCCTGTGGCACATGGCACAGGAGGACAGCAGCAGCTGTACGCCGGAGTGAGGTGACCCTGATGGCAACCAAACAGCAACATCTCCAGTAACTCAGGGTACCTGCACACGCAGGGAGGAGGGACTTGCAGTAGCAGGATGACTCTGCTTTGGCAGAGCTTGGAGGAGGATACCTGCCGGGATTCAGGCATAACCTCTAAAATGAGGTCTACAAACAGTCCTGAAGATCAGGGAGAAAAGGATGGAAGAGTAGAGGATGGATGTGACCATCTTTCATGAACATCCTAGGCTTAATTATCTCCATGTAGCACTACAGGAGAGAGCAAGGGCCATTTGGGATTGGCTGCAAGCAGAAATTTCTTAGGGCATTGCTTACCTTGGCTATAATCTTCTCGCGGAATATCTCTGAGTTGGCAAAATACAGTGGCGAGCAGTAGGTCACAATTTTAATCCCATTAAGTTCATGTACCTACAACAGAAACAAGAGCTCAAACCAGGCGTGACAAGGGCTGTGTGGGGTGCAGGGTGGCTGGGAGTTCGGGCAGCGGATAACGGGGAAGGTCAAGCTGAAGAGCAGCACTCCTGCCACCCCTGAAACAAGCAGCGACATCCTGATCACAGTGGCAAAAAGAACAGCATTTTCTCTGAGGATAGTTTAGCTTCTGCTTACCTTGTTGTAGGCTTTAGGGTTCTTGTAGATGTCAGTGGAAGGTACTTGGCCCAGGGCAGAGCCGTTACGGCTAGGAGAAAAGAGGCGACCAGAATTAGAGTAAATGTTGCAGGGGAAGAAAACTGCTTTGCATCACATTCCATACCAGGATTTGAAAATTTGCTTTATGAAAATACTTAGATTTCATCCCTGCAGAGTCTACAGGGCAAAAAAAGAGTCAGCAGTTTGAGATCCCAGACTGGGAAATATTAATAAAGGGCTTTGATGGATTAAAAATGGTGTGTAAACTTCACGCCAGTCTCTGCATATATACGGGGCTCTTTCTTTTTGTGAGCAGGATTTTCTGCTGGAAACTATGCAGGTAGCTTTTTGTGCTGAAGTAAATACCTTCAGACTTCCCCCTGCCTTGGGATGTGCACATCGCTAACCGTGCGCAGGAGTGGGAATGCAGGCAGTAAATTAGCGCCTGCCATTCCTGTTTGCACATTCCAGGGGCCAGGGAGGACACCTGCACTCCCCCAGGCTCCTGCCGCACGTTCCTTCGAAACATGGGCCAGAGGTTGGTTATAAAAATAATCTGTCATTTATTCTGCAACTGGGAGATTTTCCTTCTCTTTTGGTTTTTGTAGCTACACTGGTACTTACAACTGGGTATGGAAAACCACGACCAGCACGGAAAATCCCACGCCCACAGCGACTCCGTAGGGAAGGCTCAGGAAGAAAGCAGACAGGAAGCTCACCAGCCAGACCAACTGCAGAAAGAGAAGAGCATGGCAGGTCATTTTACTCTACCACGGGCTGGAGCACAGTGATGGATGGAAAATGGCTCTGTGCTGATATTCTGGACCCAAAGAACTACACAGCTGAGGATCAAAAGATCAAGGCCTGAATTCTGCAGCTATTTTAATTATACAGTTTATTGCATGCTTTCGTGTGAAACATCATTGCTGGGAAGCTTGCCAGAAGCCCCAGTTTTTCAGCCGTAAAAGCAGCCAGTGCATTTCTTTACAGCTGCATGAACACCCGCACCACTCATTCAGTTCAAAAAGTATCAGCCTATCTAGTCAAGAAAAGGCTCCTGCAGGTCAGACCATCTGCTGCTCAGTGACTGCTCCCAGCCCCAAGAAAGCTCCTGCTGTCAGTCAGAGCATTTCAGAAGGAATGAGCATCTATCTGAAAACCATCTGAGCACCTACTATAAATGACCTGAATACAGAGCAGATTTGATGACAAAGTATGACAGAGCATACCAAAACCTGCTCCACCTCTCAGCTCAGAGCTCTGTCATTTGTCATTTTTATATATTAGCACTCGAGCATCTCCCTCCGTGTGAAATTAGTCCTGCCTAAGCATATAAACATGCCCTCTGAGAATCATTAGCAGGTTATTATAATCCCATCCTCAAGACTGATAAAACCTAACTTTGACCTTGGACAAATCAGGGTAACTTTGATGACTTCAGCATCTTAATTTATGTATGCATGGTGCATATAAACGGCAAGTAAGGGCTTCCCTCCATCCAGACTTCACACTGGGCTGTATCTGTGGAGTGATCCCTGCAGTTAGCACTGAAATACAGTCAGACTTGAGGTAATACACACCGATGGTCTGACATCACCCAGAAATGGTGTTTCCCGTTTTGGGACAGGACACTGAATCTGGTTCAAATTCCAGGGAGATTAAGGTCAGGGGAACGCAGTTCACTCCATTGGCATCTGCCTGGTCCCCACGCTCCCTGCACCTGTAGGCTGTCCATGGTTGCTGGTAGGAAGAGCTTTGTTCCAGCAGCTCAGTGGAAACACAGCACAGCCGGGGCAGTGGGTCTGGCTGTGCCATGGAGGACAGATGATTCACATGGGCCAAACCAAATTGGTTTCTGACAGCTGTTCACCTCCGCTGTGGTGACCACGTCTGGCAGAGACACGCTGCCAAGGCGTTCCCCAGGCAGCAGCATGCATCTCCGCTCAGTCCACCGTTTGATCGGGTGTCTGCCCAGATGCTGGGCTGGGGGCTGTGGAGCCCGCGGGGACGGTCTGTGCTCCCTTCTGCGAGCTCTGATAATGGGCAGTAACTTCACCTGCCCTCACATGAACCGCCAGAGCCGACCCAGACCTTCCATCCTGCCCACCAGGCACCAGCAGAAGCCATTCAGAGATGTGCTTAAATTGCCATAAATGATTCCCAACAGAGAATTGCATCTTCCCATCAGCGACTTTCCCTCTCTGATGGTTCTTGCCTGCATAACCATGTCAGCTCAGACCTTGCATGTCCCTGGTCCAGTCAGTCTGCCAGGCTCAATCCTAAGGATGGACCAATTTTTTTTGTAGCTCATGCCCTGTGCTAGAGTGTGCCTTCACGTCATGATCACACCTCTGTGAAATCTCTGCCTGGACTGCTAACCCATCTCTTCTCCGGCACCTGTTTGAACAGTATTTTGGGAAAGCTCTTGATGACTCAGGTCAGCCCCTTTGGACTCCTGATTTCTCCGATAAGGCGGTTTGTCGGGACCTGACAGGATATTGGCTCAGTGTCCACACACACCACTCAGCCGTGGGAGTCCTGTTCAAACACTGTCTTTTTATGTCAGACATTTCCAAATTCCGTTCTCACTCCCCCACACCCCCTGCCTGGGTTTATATATCAACCAGTGCCTGGAGTCCTTATCGCTGTGAAGGGCTCTCCTCACCCTGGAGGGCTATTGTGTGAGTTTTTAAGTCATGACTCCTAGATATTGAGCAGGGCCGGTTTGGCTAGTTCTGGGCAAACAGGCTCCCGCGGTTGATAGGCATTTAAACAGAGCAGGTAATAGTTCAGGCCTCTCTGATATGTGCGCTAAGCATGAGAGTGCTCAGCTGGGCAGGACAGGCTCCGCCACCGCTCAGAGCCTTGTTGGCAAGGGGTTGGAAGCACGACCACACGGAGAGAGCAAAACCCACCTTCTGCAGGGGACTCATACTGCCCTCCTGCCTCCAAAAGCCTGCCGGGGGGCTGGCCTGCTCGCCCTGCCTCTGCCTCGCACAGCTGTGGGCTGAGCAGCCGGCATAGGCAGGGGGGGGGCAGGCGGATGCCTCCCACCCGTCCCCAGGCACTCACGCAGTCCAGCTTGCTCTTCTTCCACAGGTAGAAGGGGTCAGCCAGCTGCTTGAGGGAGTTTTTCAGGTTCACTGCAATGAGGGCTCCCAGGACAGACTGCGGAGGAGAGGGGATCGTATCAGCTAGGATGTGGATGTGCGGTGTGGATGTGCCACGTTTTGCAGCAGATGGTTTCTGCAGTGTCTCCCTTCCTTGGTCCAAATACCACAAGGGAATGGGAAAGGGTGACGCTCACAAAGATCTCACTTGGATCTGAGCATAATAATGTAGACTATTCTTGCTTCCAGAGACTCAGTGCAGACAGGACCCCAGGCCAGGAACAAACCATGCTGTGCAGCAGTTTGCATCAGGGGTCTTTGGAGCAAGACTGTGCCTTCGCTTGGCTGCGTGGAGTATGTGACACAGTGACCGCGCTGTTTGCACAGATGTTTGTGTTACCTTTGGAAGAGGTTCGAGGTAGATCCCCAGAGCCAGCATGGTCACCATAACCACCAAGGCCACAAAGAAACTTGCCACCTGCAAAAAAGAGAGAAATAACTTCAGCAAACATCAGGGTCTTCCTAAACCCCCTCTGGGCCTTTCCTCTCCTGCTGCTTCAGCCAGTGGGACAACTGGTCACTGCGGTATTTTATGTGAGCAGACGATTGCCTCTGAGAAATAGGCTAAGATTTTGCAGATCTCACAGATAACCCCAAACTTCCCTCACGTGGTAGCTCCGCTCAATCGGGGGAGCCAGTCTGGGAATGCAGATTTACAGCCCTACATCTGTGACCAATCCAAAGAACCACCCAGGGAACAAAATGGAGTTGGGGAGGGAGGAAATTCTGCTTTAACAACAGCAATGTGAAGGACTCATATATAGAGCTTCTCCAGACCTGCAGCAGTGATGTCAGGCTGGCAGCATGCAGCAGCTACAGGAGTTTGTGGTCAAGTGGGGTCACGTAGGGAAGAGAGGAGGAGGAGGAGGTACTAACTTGTGATTTCCCTCCTGCCCCATCGATGGCAAGAGTGACGGAGAGAGCACAGCAGATCACGTGGATTTTGAAGAAGGATCCAAAGAAGTTGCTGCAGCCCAGGGCCAGCATTTCCTGTGGAGATGGGGGAACGTGGTCATCAGAAAGGACAGCTGCCCGTCCTGCCCTGCCAACGCGTGTGAGCTGCCAGGCAGGAGAGCAGGTGCCCGAGTCTGGGGTTTGTGTGGCCAGCGAAGGGACCTGGGTTCCCTGCGGTGTGTCCCAGACCCTTTCCTTCCAGTAAGAGCTATGATGGGCTCTGGTATAGCAGGGAAACCTGGAAGCACAATTCCACATAAACACATCATCTGTTGACTCACTAAGGGCAGGGCTTCATGTGGTATGCGTGGCTGTTATTGAAAGCTACCACTGTGCCAGTGATGACAAAAGAGGATTATTTAATGTCCTGCCTCTCACAGTATCTAGGTGACACACCAGGAATCCAGGTCTTTCTCTGCTCAGTGAGAAATACATGTGCCTCGTTGTGCTCCAACAACCTGCAAAAATGCCGTCTGAGCCAGCACTAGGGCTGAAGCCTCAGGTCTCAAGGGAGAGCAAAGCAGAGAGCTCAACCTAAGGCTTTCTTCCCTTTTGCAGGCTCTCTCCAGTCCATGGGAGATGGATCTGCCATGTCCTTTCAACCCCCACATGGCAAACTGCCACATAAACCTGCATGCATGGGAGCAGCATGTCTGTTTTAAGCAGAGCACGTTCGAAAGCTTCCCATTCATGCAGCGAGGTTTTCCTTTCACGCCTGAGAGCAAGGGGAACGGTCCTTGACTGCATCCTTCCAGACCAAGCGTTACCTGGTTGGGGTCCACGTCGTAGCCATGCTTGGCTGCCAGCGTTCTCCCCATGGCTAAGTTGATCACGTAGCCCACGATGGCGAGTGAGAAAGCTGTGCCAATCATGTCTTTCCACGTGTTCACCAGGGGCAGGGTTGGTGCTGGGAACCTGCACTCAGAGTGGAGGCAAGAAGCGGTTGTGACACTAGTGTCCGGAGGCCAGTGAGGTGGGTGAGGAGCTTGTGTTCGGGAATGACATAATCCGTGTCTACACTGTGGACAGCGTGAGTGGATGGTGGCAGTTGTGTAACAGAGCGCAGCAGTGCTGCCTGACAGTCCTGGAAGGGGACTGTCATACAGCAGGGAAGAGTGAGGTGTTTTCCAGGCTGCAGGAGGAGGAGGAGGAGGAGGAGGAGGAAGGAAAATTATCTGGAAGTTGAGTCAGACCTGCACATGCACTTACCCCATGCCGATCTTCCCAACTATGGGCATGTGGTACTTCTCGGGCATGTTAAAGCTGCCAGAGATTGCAGTCGCCACTATTACCTGAAAGTACAGAGAATAAAAGAGCAGTAAGCGGAAAGAGCATGAGCTCTCTCAGAAGCACTAAGCTTGCTGTGCTCCTGGGGCTGACAGTAGAAAATTAGCACCAAATTCAGGCTAGGAAAGGAGAAAATCTCCCCAGCAGGAGTTATGTTCCTCATACTCAGCATCAGCAGGATGCAGGTACAGTCTAACAGGGACGAGCTGGGCATCGGAGGTATCCTCCATGACGACGGCCCAATTTCTGACCCCAAGCCATGCGGCAGTCACGTCATATTCACTGTGTAGATGCTCTATGTGATGGGCCCTCTGTGAGCAGAAGTGGGTGTCCCAGGGCTGTAAGGTGAGGGGAGGGACTGTCTCCTGGAGGGTCCAAGGGACAGCTCATGCGTCACTTACGATGATGATCTCCATGGGGATGGGCATCCGGATCTTTTTCATGTACTTTAGGTTGAGCTCCTTGACAACGATCAGGAGCACAGCACTGACCAAGGCATAGACCAGGGAGGCCACGTTGGTTTGGGGCAGACCTTTACAAATATCAATGAATGTCTAAAGGGGAGAGAAGAAGAGAAGGTGTCATGGGGAACCAGAGACTCTGGACAATGTGGACAGCACAGTGGAGAACACTTGTTACCATAACCAACTGCAAACACCCTGAGATGTGACGAGGGTGAGAGAAGTGCTAGAAACCCTGCTGCTGAGAGATCAGCAACCAGCCCTGGGTCTGTGCTGTCCAGTTAAATGCAGTTCTAGCTGCATCAATGGAGCATGCATCCATGGAAGATGCAGGAAAGCTCAGGAATGGGTAAACCTGCTCATAGGAAAAGTTTCTGTTGCTAACAATTATGCAAGACTCCTGCTGTAAAGCAACACAGTTCATATTCTCCCCAAACCCCAGACCCATTTCATTATTTCTAATTAGAAACTAGCAGACAAGGACGCAGGTAATACTATATAGGAAATACAATGGCAGCAGCGTAGGTGTGCTGGGCTGGGAGTGGTGCAGACAGCCGTATTCCCCCTCCCTCCACCCTTTCCTTCTCTCCTAGCCACCCTTTCCCTTGCATGGGTGGCAGAGATGCCTGTGGTGTGGTGGTCACTGGGGGAGGAGGTGCAGGGAAGGCCCCTGCCCAGAGCACCCACTTACATAGACGATAGCTAAGGGCCCGGTGTAAGATGCGACTGTCAAGCCGAAGACGTACTTGAGCACGGAGATGAGGATCTGCAACCCTGCTGCTGTCATGAAGCCCCTGATGAAAGACTCTGAGAGGTAGATAGCAACAAAGCCAAACTGCACGAATCCCAGGCACAGCTAGGGTAGGACAGACAAGGCGTTATTAGAAGCATGCCAGCCTGAAAGGGCGAGGTGCAGAGCCTGAGCGTGCCCGTGTCGGGCAGGCTGCTCCGCTGGGAGAGCGGGCACATCCCTCCCATGCAGCCGCGGCGCAGGCAGGGCTGAGCAGACTGTCCCGGAGCAGGGATGGGGAGAGGAGAGCTGCAGCGTGCTGGGGTGTCATCACTGGCTGCGATCCTGCCCCAGGGGCTGGCCTCACCCTTGGCTAGTTCATTCGGAGAATTTCACACCAAGACTGCAGCTGGGGCGGGATCCCCCCCAAAACCTCTATGCTGAGGCATCATCCACTTAGAAGTGGGGCCTCCTCTAGCATCTGCTACCACCATCTCTGCTCCAGGGAGAGAGCTCGGCTGACTCCGTGTGGGTCAGTTCTGGCCAGAGGACACAGCACAGGCGGTGCAGTGGGTCCTTACTTGTATGATGGCTGTCAGGCAGGCTAATGTGGCAGAGATCTCCAGCCTAGCTGCTTCCAGCGCTGTGGTATTCACGATGGTCTCATTGGTAGTCTCGTTGACGTACTGGAAGTCTGACTCTGGAGCCAGCTCATTGCAGACGTTCCCAACAATAATGCTGATGACTGCAAAAGTACCTACAGCACAACACAGCGATGTCAGTAGTTTTTTCTGGAGAGCGTCCTGTCCTGGAAGGCACTTGGGCAGGTTAGGCTGTCCAGACTGAAACACCCAGCCCATCACCGCAGCCAGCCCTGCGGTGGGTTGCGGCAGCGGTTCATTGGGGTGAGATCCTGCTGTGCAGCCAGAATCAGGGATCCCATAAACCCCTGACAAACGAAACATGCCCAAACATCTCTATTCTGGAACACACCGGGTCTTCCCAGCCAGTTGGTGTTTAATTGCCTTGTGCAGAAAATTGCTCCGCAGACACTTACCTGGGACCATCTGATGGATACCGCCAAGGAAGAGGTATGTTACCAAAGGGAAGAAGGAGGAGTAGAGCCCGTTGACAGGAGGCAGATTGGCCAGCAGCGCGAAGGCCATCCCTGGAAAAGACAAGGGAAATGGGCAGGTCACCCAAGTCTGTGCAGCTGGTGTCAGCCCCCTGCCCTGGCCACACTCACATCAGCTCCGAGAAGGTGCTCTGGCCAGCACAGACTGCTGCTTTCTGGGCAGGAGGGGCCAAAGAGAGCAGGGAAGGGCTCCGTGGAAAAAATATAGGGACAAGCAGGTAGGAGGCAGAGCTTGTGTTTATACATGTCAGCAGTAAAGGTAGCTAACCCCCACAGAATGGACATAGCTGTCATCTGCAGACCTTTACTTGAACTGGTAAAGTGCTATCCCCTCTAGGTGACCCAGAAAGTCATTGTGTCTCACCTTGTGGCACTTGAATCGTCCCTGCACTGAGCCCACCAAGAACATCGGACAAAATGTAGTCCTTAATTTTATACTTGGGAAGCCACACAAGTATTGGGAACAGGCCAAAGAGGGTGAGTTTGAATCTGGAAGCTGAACATCTAGAGGAGACAAAAAAAAAATGCAAATAAGTAAGAAAGGAAGCAAGCGAGCTGGGAAGTAAGCAAGCAAGGAAGCAAGGAAGGATCTTCCTAGGAATGTCTCAATATTTCTCCCACACCAAATCCTGAGCCCAATATTTGGTGCACAGCCCTTCCCTGCGAGGTGCCTTCCCTGCAAGGCTCTTGCAGTTAACTAGCTGGACATGCCGTGGAGGATTATTGTGGGAGGTCCTGACATTGGGAGGTCCCCAGTGCTGCCACAGCTGGAAGGAGAACCTGCACAAAGCGAAGGATTTAGCTCCCCAGTATCCTGAGTCTTTGTTTCTAATACCCTTCAGATGGGGGGTAGGTGAGCTGTAGGGAGGAAGCACAGCTCCAAGATTCATGGGGCAGTTGCACAGAGCCAAAGATGAACTTTTTCAGGTGCTTGGTCAAAAAACCCGAAGTGTGTCTGAAAGAAGAAGATTGCTCCTGGGTTGACACATGCAGCATCTCACATCTCTGCCTGCTGACATACATGTTCTCTCTTTCCTGTATTCCTAAAAAAGCCTTCATTTTTCCAAGGAATGGATATAGATTTCCAAGACAGCAATCAGCAGGATTAATCATCTTTCTTTAAGGAAAGCCAGTACTGTTTTTAATCAGAAAGCTGGTAAAAGGAAATCCCAGCTGGAAAGCTTAAAGAATCCACACACTCATACATACATCACCAATTATACCTTTTTCATTATTAAAAAATTTGGAAAACAGAAACCCAAATCCCAAATGCACTTAGTGCAAACTGTTCTGCTTATTTGCCTTCCGGTGTAACAGCTGAGGCAGTGAAAAGAGTAACCAGTTTCACTTGCTTCAGTGCAATTTGCATTTCTCTTGTGCCTTTCATCCATCAAAGCCCTGAAGATCGTGGAAAAAGTTTCCCACGATAAAAATGGGAACTGTATCCCCAGGTCCAAATTATATCCCAATTCCAGACTAAATCTGGTTTAGATTTGCCCCAGCTATAGCATTCTATGTTACCTGAAAAGGTTTTTCAATTTTTCCCCAATGGGGTAACTTCTGCTTTTCTTCTCAAACTCTTCGTCGAAGAGGCTGACCGAATATGCAGGACGTTCGATGACATAGCGAGGCCTGGTGTGGTTCATCTCTGGATCATTTAATTTTTTTCCCAGAAAAAAAAGAAAAAGCAAAGCCAAGAATGTGACTGGAGCTGGCCCCACCTGCAGTATAACAGACCGGACACCTCCAGCATCTGGGAGCCCTCCCCGAACATCTCCACCCTAAATAGTTTCCCTGTGGTGCAGAGGCAGGTCCTGGGAGTGGCTTCTCCCAGCACCGGGGGCTGCTGCTCCCCGGCACAGGGAGTTTTTACCAGCTATTTTGAGGTGATGCTAATGAGCGATGCCGTGTGAAGGGGACCGGAGCGCGTCCTGGATTGTCTGGCAGATGAGCATGGGTGTTAATCTTAGCTCTGCCAGTGACTGCCTTTTTGCCTTGGGCAAGTTACTTGACCTTTCTCATGCCTCAGTTTCACCATCTGCCGGTGGCGTTGGCAAGACTTTGCAACCCTGGGCAGCCCTGACACAATTTGCAATGGTAGATACCGGCACCGTGATTAAAGGCAGTTTCCATCCGAGGTGTTCCTGCTGCACTGCTGAGTGGTCTCATTTGCATTCAGCAGCCTTCCTATTTCTCACTTGCCATGAGAGGCTGTGGATGAGTCCCTGGTTTATTCTAGGAAGTGATGCGCAGAAAGATAACCATTGCTAATTCATTTCAGTGATGAAGATGCCAAAACATCCGGATGGACTAGTCCTGCCCAGTACCTGGGTCTCACCAAAGAAAGATGATGAACTTTAGAGAGCCCTTATTTTGCTATGACCAGCGATGCCTGGGAAGAGGGGAGAATCATTACAAACTGGAGAGGCTAGGGGTGGAGGGAGGAAGTGGTCAGATATAAAACAAGGATCTTGGTAATTATTTGTGGTATGGCGTGTATCTAAGTGGGTCATTGCCCAACACAGGAGTAGAAGAGGGGGTGGAAAAAGCTGGTGATTCAGGCAGGAGAACATATCAAGAAACAACATCCAGGTTGCTTAGAGCTTATGGAGTGATTTGAACGTACCAGATCCTCCCCTCCCCTCTTTTGGCACTGTGAGTACTGCTGAAGTCAGTGCACGCCTTGACACCGAGTTCAGTGGAGCCAGGATGAGCAAAATGCCCATCCGTAGGACTAATGTCAGTCCTCACTGATAAGCAGTTACCTTGGAGTGGGGGCTGGAAGACATGAGTAATGTGTAGCAGAGTGGCCCAGCAGTCCAGGGCAGGAAGGAAAGTATGATGCAGGCAGCCGAAACTTTTGGGAGAATTTAGGTCAACAGAATCATTATGCAAATAGGAGTAAACGGGTTTAGAAAGGGAGGTCATCAATCCCACTCCTGCAGTGGATGCTTTAGTGATCACAGGGGCAATCAAGTGCAGTTTGCTGTGAAATAGCTCCAGCAATGGTGTGTTTCTGATTCCAGGCTCTGATCTGCACCCACGCTGACTCGGGAGGGACCCCGGCCTATGTCTTTGGAGGGCCAGCTAGGTGAAAGAGGAGACATGCCCCTCTTCCTGCATTACCAGGTGCTTAATCCAGTGCCCTCCGCAGGCGTGCACACACTGGTATCCCTGCTGCTTCTTTTCACCTAGAGATACCCTTCCAAGAGCAATTACAAGCTTTACCTTTTGGAGGATTGGTGCAGGCCGAGACTACGCAGCGTCCTAGGCTCTTTCCCAGTCCCTACGCTCGTACCAGAAGCCCATCCAATAAACGGTCATTCCCTGGTTTTCCCACGGCAGTCTGTGCAAGTCTTGTCCCTCCCTTATAGCCTTGCTCCAGATCCTGTTGCTGAGCAGGTTCCCAGCGTGCCCAGCCTTTCTCCAGCCACAGCTCCGCTCTAGATTTCTAGTTCTCCGTCGTGAATATTTTGTAGCCCAGGTCCAGGCCCAGCGACAGGCTTCTAAGGGGTGATAAACCCAGCTGAGTTTCTGGTGCAGGAAGTCTCTCTCAGCTTTATTTCTCGGCCCCATCACTTGCGGAGCAGCGTGCCTGCCATCAGACAGACTGAATCAGCCAATTATATCACAGCTCTTTAATGAATTTCCCCCGCTGAGCAAAAGTGCTGGCAATCAGGAAAAATAATAAACAAGGCAAGTATAGAGGGAAAAATATCCCCATGATTAAATTCCATCTTAAACAAACAGGCTAATGATGTCAGCCTCTCGGACAGAGTCAAGTTCTTGACTTGGCTTATCACTGGCCTTGCCCTAGATCAAACAGCAGGTTAAACCTTTGCGATTTCAGAATTAAAGAGAACGAGCTGTGTGACTGCTCCTTGAACAAAAGGCAAAACCAGCTGTCCTGGTGTTGATGGGATAAGACCAGAGCAAGCTGCAGAGCTGGTTTAAATCCTGCAGCTGGGGCAGGACACTGAAGCAATGCAATGTGTGTGGAGAGAAAAGCAGAGTGCCAGTAAGTTGCTGCGTTGCAGGGACCAGCTTTTTCAAGAGCTCTGGTCCAGTATAGGCATGGATGGAAATAAAGGACAAGGTCTGGGGAAGAGCTCCAGGTGCGGAGCCCCTGTTACAAGCTTTTCATGAAGCCCATTCCTCCAGTGTGTTGGCTAGAGTGGGTGATGCTAAGAAATGCGAAGTTTGACCTCACTGATAAGTCTACTAAGCCTGGGGTCTTGGAGAACTTGTGACACACTGAGTATGTAACTGTGATGTGATACTTGGAGCAAGCAACAAATGAAGGCAGAACTGCTTCACTTCAAGAATATGATGTGGGTGAAAGATCTTGTCCCAGTAGGTCGTCAGCTAAGAGTCCCATCAGTTCATACCTGGCTGATCCCTGCCAGTCTCAAACCAGCCTGTGCATGCCAGGCATGGACCTTTTTCCCAGTGTTCATCTTGCAAATGCATTTACTAAGCTCTTATCTTCTGTCCCTGGGCTGGTGATAGCTGTGTTTGGGAAGAGGAAAGTCACATTGAGGTTAGTGTTGACAGGAGCCATTGGCATAAAGCCACTTTCCTGTGCTGGCATAGGCACAGAAAAGGGACTCCAGTCCAAGGAGTGTGAGTCAAATTTAGTGGGAAAGCAATCTGATCACTGCCTTATGCATAATATAAGGGCCCAAACTGATCCCAGTGCAAGAGCTGGACATTCAGGGAATGCCTCTGCTACATTTTAGGGAGAAAAAACCAGTGCTCTGGAAATACTGTTTCCTCCTTTGTCTGCCCCCTCTCCATCCCCCCTTCTTCTTGCACAAGGCAATGCACACACAGATCTCCTTGCTGATTGCTTCTCAGCTGATGGAGTTCAGAGGTCTGGTTCCTTCCAAATCCTGGGTGAATCTTCATTAAAATCATCTCTTTCCCAGCTCCATTGCCCAAGAAAGGGTTATAAAAAGCAACTCTCCCCTACCCCAGGAAACAAGGTCTGCCTGAAGAAGGCAAGCACAGGTGCAAGGGTTTGGTTGCAACACCAGAACAAGGTCTTGACTCCTGTTCCTCTGAATCAGTGCCTTCAGCACCGTGTCTGCTGTGACTCCCAGCCTCCCGCTCGCGGCTCCGGCTGCAGGTGCCATGGGAGCCCTGGGGCAACACGGTGAAAGGGCCTAAGTCTCGCAAGGTCAGGCGAGGAAGCCGTCACCTCCTCCCCTGAAACCTGTCCTGTGCTTCCTTGCCTAGGCATGGCATGGGGCAGGACAGGGCGGCTGCAGTGCCGGGCTCTGTGGTGCCAGATGCTGCAGTGCCGGGTGCTGCAGTGCCGGGTGCCCCCCCAGACTGAACTCTGCCTCACCCTCCTGCTGCACACCCGCTTCCCTCTCCCTTTCACGCCTCTGGTGTCGAGCTGGGCTCGCAAAGAACACGGGCAGGAGGAAAAGGAGGTTTCTGCTGTCAGTCAGTTCAGGTATTTCAAAAGGATGTTGTATAATTCACCTCCGCTATCAGGCGCCGATCAGCCCAGCGGATCCGCCCCCGTGCTCCCTGGTTGTTCACTCTCGAACCTCCTGGTATCAGGGACAGACCAGGACCGAGTCTGGCTGAAGGGTCACACTGGCAGCTCATCATCAAGGGACCGCTGGCACCTTCATTCAGGTTAGCATCTTCAGCTGGGCCGTTTGACTGGGCATACCTTTTTGCTCACAGTTAAAATGACTTTGATCTGATTTAGTTTTTTCTTACCTTTGGCTCTGAGTTGCCATAGGGTTCATCTACAGATGAACTGATTCAGGAAGAAAGCACCTTGCAGTGGTAAAGCCAGATCTATAGTCCCATGTTTCTGGCGTGAGCATATCGGTAAAAACATCTTTCCTAGTAATCTGGGGAAGGGGAAGAGGCAGAAGCAGGGAAGCGGTGCTTGTGTTGCAGGGGGCTGAGCAGCCGGCTGCACGCACGGTGCCGTGAACTGAATACGCACAACATTTGGCCGTGGGGTTTAACTTTTTCTTAACCTCTGCCCTTTGGAAATAGAAGAGGCTGATGCTAGGGGAGCATATAGATCGGTTATGAAAAATACCATATCACAGAAATGTCTTTTAGCCTCAGAAAAGGCAAAATGCCAGAGTCCATAAAGTTCAGTAAAAACTTAGCTGTTTCGATCAATTTTCCACAAGCAGCATGCAGGAACCATCGTGATGGCTGGTGGAATAGAAGCCAGAGAGAGAGGGAGAGGGTGAAGGAGGGAGAGGGGTGCCGGGAGGTGCTAACTGGCCCTGCCTGACTGTGTTGAGGCACAGAGGGAGCCGTACGCCGCAGGTGCAGGGGCAGGGAGGAGACATCTCTGCTTCCCTCCAGCTCCCACCTTCCCATCTCGTTGCACCATGCTGCAACCTCGGCTTTAATGTCCTCCTGGGGAGCAGCCATCCCCTTCCTCCACTCCTGCACTTTTGCCACAGAGCAGCCAGGCATTAAATCAATGTTTTCTTTTTGTTTAGATTAAATATTTGGAGTGTTAAATAGGTGATTTCCATAAGGCAGATGTCCCTTTTCTTGTTTTAAGTGACCCAGCCCAGCGCAGGCACCGGGCAGGAGCACTGCACTGTACTCTTGTTCTGCCGTCGCTGGGCCGGTGCCAATGTTTGATGTACCACTT